GACCTCATGTGCCCCCTAAACAAACAATGCAAATCGTCTGTGCTTCTCTCGTATTATGGATTGCCTCGTTTGCGACTCATTCCTCTACAAATATGTTACCATGTGGACATGATTCATCTCGCCCGCCTCATCCTTTTTCGGGTTACGTTGGAAAATAGGCTGGAGACTAGCTAAGTCAAGTCACAGGAGGCTTAGCTGGTTAGTGTCCCCTGTCGGTCTAATGCGGTGAATCAATTGTGGCTTGCACTTATCCCCGGCTTTCTTTCGACCTTCATTAGCTACCTTCTTCTTTCTCTCCCTCCACACACACTCTCTCTTTTCTCCCCAAACTCTGCTCTTGAACCAGCTCAGTCTCCTTCTGCCAAACCGGTTATCTCTTAATCTTGGTTCACTTCCGAAAACTAAAATAGACGAATTGTTTTCGGGTTTGTTCCAGGGTTTGTCTGATCCTTGCACAAGGACACTTCGTACACTTCTAACACATCTGTCAAAATGTCATCCCCAAAGGCATTCGACAATGGGGAGGGCTCCTCGTCTTTACGGCCCCGTTCATCGTCGCCAATATCCACCTCTGCAATGCGGTCTAGATCCCCTGCAACCGACGCCTCAGTGAGGCATGCCTCGATCGCCCGCCTGGCGTCCCCGATTCCCTCTCCCTCCAATCATTCTTACTCATCCCGACAGGTGCCCGTGCCCGTGCAGTCGGCAAGTGGCACCCTCGAGGATTATCGCAAAGTCGATCATCCCTCCTCCGTACCAGGCCCGGGCCATTCGATGATCTCCTCTGCTCTCCAGGAGTACATGGGCAAATCGCCGCCAGCGAGAGTAGGAACTCCGCCCAGGCAGACCGCGTCTCCTGCGCTACTAAACCAACCCATTCGATCGAACTACGGATCTTTCGACGGACGAGAGGGCTCGGAGTATTCCGCGGGTCCTTATGAAGATCCGGAAGTTGTCAAGCGGCATCTGGTACAACCTCAAAATGGAGAAGGCCGGGATTACTATTTCTCGGGCGATGCAGCCAGTAACGCGGACGACGAGTTCTCCAGCTTGCAGCTCCAGGGTGGTGACATAACCAGGCAGGTTTACAGATGGGCGGAAGATGCAGAATCTGGAAACTCCCTGCGCAAGCCTCAACGGAGCAGGAGTTTCAGCCATAACCGGCCTCTACCCCAAGACGAAACGATGAACATTAACAGCATCCGTGTACCGGGAGGATTCCGCAGAGACTATCTGCGAAGAGCTGTGGGCCCCGGGGACTCTGAAGACTCAGTGCAGGCGCCCGTCAGCCAACCTCAGTTTCCGACAAGCAGCTTCCTTGAGTTCTTGACCTTGTACGGCCACTTTGCGGGTGAAGAGCTAGAAGAGGATGATGAGGTGCTGGGTCCTGACGAGTACTTCTCGTCCGATACCTATGACGAAGTAGAGGGTAGAGAGCCAGGTGAAGATTCGGCTCTGCTTCGTCCGGATACGGCTGGTAGAAGAAAGCGGAAGCCGCGCGGCGGCACTGGAAACAATACGGTGACAGGCGCAGCTCTTCTACTGCTTAAGTCCTTTGTGGGAACGGGAGTTCTATTCCTTCCAAGAGCTTTCTTGAATGGAGGCATGCTGTTCAGTAGTATGGTCCTGCTTGCAGTGTCGCTTCTCAGTTTTTACTGCTTCATACTCCTGGTCAACACCCGGTTGAAGGTTGATGGCTCCTTTGGTGATATTGGCGGCCACCTTTATGGCAAACACATGCGGCGCATTATCCTGGGCTCAATTGTTCTGAGTCAGCTGGGCTTCGTGTCGGCGTACATTGTGTTTACCGCGGAGAACCTACAGGCCTTCGTCCTCGCCGTGAGCAATTGCAAGTCTTTCATTGACATCAAATTCATGGTGTTGCTGCAGCTTGTCATCTTTTTGCCTCTTTCGTTGATCCGTGATATTAGCAAACTTGGATTCACCGCACTGATCGCCGATCTCTTTATTCTGCTTGGTCTGATCTATCTCTTCTACTATGATTTCCTTACCATTTCGAACCAGGGTGGTATCTCCGACATCATCTCCTTCAACCCGTCCACGTGGACTCTATTCATCGGAACAGCTATCTTCACGTACGAAGGAATTGGCTTGATTATTCCCATCCAAGAATCTATGAAGGAACCTCACCGCTTCCCAGGTGTTCTGGCTGGCGTCATGGTCATTATCACGATTGTGTTCCTTTCCGCTGGCGCTGTCAGCTATGCAGCCTACGGTTCGGCAACCAAGACCGTTGTCATCCTGAACCTTCCCCAGGATGACAAATTCGTGAACGCGGTGCAGTTCCTCTACTCTCTGGCCATCCTTCTCAGCACCCCGCTGCAGCTCTTCCCTGCCATCCGTATCATGGAGAACGAGCTGTTCACACGCAGTGGAAAGTACAATCCCTGGATCAAGTGGAAGAAGAACTGTTTCCGATTCTTCCTCGTCATGATCTGCGCATTCGTCGCCTGGGGCGGCGCCGAAGATCTCGACAAGTTTGTGTCGCTCGTTGGTAGTTTCGCCTGTGTTCCATTGATCTATGTGTATCCGGTAAGCTCTTTAGCCCCTTCACTGCTCTTCCCGTCCTTTATCACTCTATCGCTGACAATGTATTACACAGCCTCTCCTTCACCTCAAGGCCTGCGCTCAGTCTCGCAGACAGCAGATTGCCGACATCGCTTTGGCCATTTTCGGTGTCCTCAGCTGTCTGTACACAACATCTCTGACGCTCAGCAACTGGATCAATGGCGGCGACGTCAAGCCTCCGGGATACTGCGACTCCTGATCTGTACAGATTTGTCCACGGATTGTCTACTGATCCTCCTCCGATGTCTGATCCTACCCTAACGAATTGTCCAGTACGTATATGATGGACACTTGTGATGCCCACTACTGTTGCTACAGGTACATAGCTTTGCTGTCTGCTCGATTATCTTGCTTCCTTGCTTGTTTGTCCCCGTGCTTGGTTACGAGACCATTGTCAGCAACCACCCAAGCCCTTCCCTATCTGCTCTGGTCCTTCGACCGGGTTTCTTGCCATGTTTGATATAGACTCTAGACGAGATTGCCAATTTACGCACTATACATCACCAACCCGCAAGACAATCAAGAGATCTGCGCAGACAACACTCCCAAGAAAAAGACTGTACGAAGAAGACGGGAAACCTAACCGGACCAATCTCCAATTCTAGTAGGACGCGATAAAGAAAAAAGTGAGAGGGAGCTATATACACAAAAAAAAGAAAACAAAGCAACCCGCCATGCAAGAACTTGCTAGTAACGGAAAGCGGAGGAGCCGAAAGAAGCCACGAGAAACCCACCAACCATGTAATCAAAAGCAGCAGCAGCAGCAGCAGCAGCCAGCCAGCCAGTCCCCCCCTGCACACAAAGAGTTGTAGGCAAAAAAGGAATCGAGATACTCCGTAAAACCCCTCCTCCCTTACTCAACTGCTATATCATACAGGTTCCCAGCACCCGCAATTCCATTCAAACCCCCGCCGCCACACCCACAGCACAGAAACAGGGGACGGAAAACCTCGTAGAGGAGAGAGAGGAAAGAGGGATTGTCTATTGACCGGCTTCGGTGGCTTCCTTGCCCTGCTCAGCGGCCTGGGCGAGCTTGGCTTCACGGCCACCCCAGCTGTTTTTTGGAAGAATAAATCCGTTAGCTTTTGTGATCGATTGGGTGTACGGTTCTGCACGTCACGTAGATCGGATACCGTGCCGTTTTTTGATGGGGCAAAAGAACTCACTTCCAGTAGTTCAGGTAGCGGTAACCTTGGGTCAGCTGGGCGGAGAAGTTGACGGCGTGGCAGGCGAACAGCAGGTAGTTCTTGGGGGAGACGGCCAGAGCGTAGCGCATGAAGGTACCGGAGTAGATCACGAGGGCACCGGTCATTTGGCCGGAGATGCTGCAGGGCAGGGTCAATAAGCGTCAGCTCTAAGGCCCCCAAGTCTCTAAGTTGTTTTTGTTTATGAATTGCTCAATCTTCATTGGGCGAGATGCTCTTCTCTCTTGCGTTCCCGTCTGGGCCGCGGAATGGAGGTGAAGATCCGATAAATGGAGGGCAGGAAGGTTTTAGGTGGAACGTACATCTCGGGGTCCTTCTGGGTGTCCATGACAGCGGCAATGGGGATACCGAAGTTGGAGGCAGGGCCCCAGAAATCTGCATGATCATAAAGAAGTCAGTCGACGACATAGTGTAAGAGCTTCCAAGGGGTGATGGCACGGGTTCCGCAAGCAATTGCCCGTTGTAAGCCGGAGACGAGCTTTTGGCCGTCTCTTCTGTCTGTCTTACTGCAGGACTTCATGGCCGGCCGATCTCGGTCAGGGCACGGGGAAGGGAACCGGGGCGCAACACGTACGTGTAGAGCAGACATAGTCCAGAACCTTGTTGGAACGGATCTTAGCGTTGATTGCCTTGATTGCAGCAGCCATTTTGGGCGACGAAGGGGAGAATCGATGGAGAGGAGAGTGACGCTGAGAGGAGGGAAGAACGGGTTAAGAAGGCAGAGAGAGCGAGGGTTGCTTTGCTGCGCTCCCCGTCACTGCGCCGTTCGCCGGGCGGAGAGGCTCGGATGCGGTCACGTGTTGGCCAGTTGCCGGAGTTCGTTGACTCCGGTCTACGGGGCTTTTATGCAGTACGGAGTGATACGATTTTCCTGTCCGACAGTGTCCAGTATAAGAAAATAAAGCTTTGGGTCTCATTATAATTGAATAGTACAGTGCTTGTTGGAAGAATATCTACCATTGCTTCCGCCGATCCTAGCCTTGTTGTTTTCAGTCGACCTTTTCTTATCTTCTGAGGAGCATCCGCACACGCCGAAACGCCTTTGCCTGATAAAATGAGGATGCTGTGCTTTCATTTGTTGAAGCTTCCATAAGCCAACCATGAGCGCGAGGTTTGAGCCTCATGCTCGACGTTCAACTCGATTTCTGCCACGCTTCAAGTCATGGTCAGATTGTACGCTATCATGCCACGCCACCTACTACCGAATCACCGTCCGCCAAACCCGGGAGGAGGATAGCCCCGGCCCTGGCCAGGAGGCTGGAAGCCCGGGGGAGGTTGGAAAGCACCCGCTGCGGCAGAATAGATGTTAGTGAACGTAGTATATAGTCAAAGGATGTAGAGCTACTTACGAGGAGCACCTTGGGGCGCAAATCCAGGAGGGGGAGCGAAGCCAGCTAGATTATCGCTTAGTCAATTGGTCAATGACGGCTAGCATAGGGAATACTAACGAGGTCCTCCAGCAGGTCCTCCGCGACCAGCAAAGCCCGGAGGCGGCGCGCCAGGGAAGCCACCCGGAGGGAAGCCGGGGAAACCACCAGGGGGAGGGGGCGGGCCACCGACGCCAGCAGCAGGGCCTCCAAGTCCGACCGGCAGACCACGTCCAGCGGGTTTGCTAATGCCAGGACCAGCAGCAAGGGTAGCAGCAGCGGCAGCGGCAGCACCGGGGACGCTTGCTCCCAAACGTGCGGAGGGGTCGGCGGGTGGGGGACCGTCAACGGAGCAAGAGACGACGTGAGTACCACGAACGATGGTCAAACCGAGGGTTCGCTTCTCTTCGGCCTCGACCAGGCTCGCGGTGGTCGACCCGGCGGCGGGCTTGGACTTCCGCTTGACGCGACGGAATTCTTCGGTGTCGGCAAGGACAAGGTTCATGTGCTGCGCAAAGATGTCAACATGTATCCACCCAGACAAAGTCGGAGTATAGTGTCGTAGCTTGGGAGAAAGTAAGTACCTTGTCGAAAGCAAGCATCTGTCCTGTCATCTGTCGACCATCGTTCAAGGTAACTCTCATCCGGTAGTTGATCTACGTCCAAGGTCAGAGCTAAATCACGGCGACCACCAGACAGTATTTCAGTTATCATCATCATGATGGTGGACTCACGAGGTTTTGCTACAAGAAGTAAACAGTTAGCTCAATTTGTTCTAAGACACCCGATCCATCCATTATCAATGAGAGAGGGGGGGGGGGGGGGGGAGGTGACGCAGCTTACCATCTTGCCCTGCTTGTTGGCCATGTTGGGCGGTGTTTTGCGCACGAATGCGACTTGGATGGGATTCAAAGAATGAAATAGGAGTCAGGACGAAGGTGAAAAGAAGAGGGGGTGCTTCTTTTCTGGGAACTTCACTCCGTGATCCGGGGGGAGACAGCAGGCGCGCAAGTAGGTTAGCAGGCTAGCTGGAACTTTTGGCACCGACTGGACTGACTTGAGCTCGAGCCGACCTGGACTTGCTGAGGTTCCCAACTTGCCATGTCAGGTGAAGCGCGCGGCTCTTGCGGTCTTGGCGCCGAAGCGCCGATGCCAAGCCACTAAGGGCTCTCGCTTCCCACACGGCCAACCCACACATTTCCCTTTTCCACACTTTTCGATCTTGTCTCTCTTTCACTCAACCAGTCGACCAGTTCACGCCAAAAGCAGTCGCCATGGTAGGTTTCCCTCCCACCAGCTCGTTGTCCTGCACTCCATTATCCAGAATTTCTGGATTTTGCAATCGATCTCGAATTTTTCCCTCGCAAAACTATCGAAGCAAACCAAGTTTTCTAACATAATATTTTTTTTCGCCATGCAGTCGGAAGGAAAGGACAAGAGCGCCAACCCTATGCGCGAGCTGCGCATCCAGAAGCTCGTGCTCAACATCTCTGTCGGCGAGTCTGGTGACAGACTTACTCGCGCTGCTAAGGTGCTCGAGCAGCTGAGCGGTCAGACTCCGGTCTACAGTAAGAACGCCCGATCCCGATCGCGATGAAGGAAGAACGAAGACACGACAAGGCGAAGAAGACAAGGCAAAAAGGGAACCAGTTGGGCTGATGGACCACTTTTTTTTCAACCTACAGGCAAGGCCCGTTACACCGTCCGTACCTTCGGTATCCGCCGTAACGAAAAGATCTCCGTCCACGTCACCGTCCGTGGCCCCAAGGCCGAGGAGATCCTCGAGCGTGGCCTCAAGGTCAAGGAGTACGAGCTCCGCAAGCGCAACTTCTCCGAGACCGGTAACTTCGGTTTCGGTATCTCCGAGCACATCGATCTCGGTATCAAGTACGACCCCGGAATCGGTATCTACGGCATGGACTTCTACTGCTGCATGTGAGTGGGCCCTTTTCGACTTGGGGTGGGGGGATTGGCATCTCCCACCCGATTTTGCCTCGGACTCGATCCCTGACAATGGTATTTCAATAGGACCCGCCCCGGTGAGCGTGTTGCCAAGCGCCGCCGCTGCAAGGCCAGAGTCGGTTCCCAGCACCGCATCAACCAGACCGAGACCATCAAGTGGTTCAAGAACCGCTTCGACGGTATCGTCCGGTAAATGCCTTCCCACACAGAAGTCATCTGATTTCTCTCCCTTACGAAAGTCTTCAATGACGGGAGGAGGGAAAAGGAAGCAATTCTGAAGGGCTATGTGCTTTTTATGACGGAACGGGACCGAACTTCGGGACCGAAAGAAGAAGAAAAAAATGGACAGAAAAAGAGGGCAGGCGTTTTTCTTTCCAACTTTTTTTTGTCGCTCTGCTCTGAAACTAATGTTTCTATCACGGCAATGAGGTTAGGCGTGTTAGAGATATGAAATTCCCCCCCAATTTTCCTCAAAAAGACACATCCCACTTTTTCTCTCAATGAAGGCTTTCACACAGGGTGAATGATTTTCCGCATAACCATTGATTGAAAAGTTTTCCTGGATGACACATGATGCCCATTCATTTTCTTGAATGCTCATTGTCTTCTTGCTTCTGCATCCTCTGCACTATCAAGTCGATAGCTGCGTGGTGTGTGTGTGTGTGTGTGTGTGTGTGTGTGTGTGTGTGTGTGTGTGTGTGTGTGTGCTTCTCGGCCTGTTGGCCTCGTCCATTCTGGAATTTGCTTGTTTGGCTCTTTTCCAGATGGCGGGTCAGTCTTTCCCTCTCTTCTTCCTGTTGGGATCTCTTGCCTTGCTTTTGCTAGGCAATTCTTCTCGAGGATTTGTCTTCTTTTCTGGATTGCTGCTAGAGGCACGGGCATTGTGACCTGGCTCTATGTTCCCAGTCTGGATGTAGATCGACCGTAGCTGTAGGATCGTAGCAGACGCCAACCGATCGGATTTTGAACTCTAGACTTCGTTACCCCAGACGGCACTAGTCCCAAAGCGCCTTGACCTTGATGCTTAATCTCATGCCCCGGTCGATCATACCGGCCTAGCATTCTTGGGGTCCAATGTCCCATGTTGATTTCCTTCAACCAACCACCCGGGGGGTAACTGCTGGCCTGGAACCTGACCTTTCAACAAACCTCCTGTCTGGGCCTTGGCCAAGACTGAACGAGAGAAGCCATGAACTTCTTGAGTCCAACACTAATTTCATGAGAAGACTATATGACTGCGATGCATATTTGACATAATGATATCGGCCCAGCCCGTCAACATGTTGTGCTCCCATACACACAACGGGGACATTTGAATGTTTCTTTTTCTCTCGCGCCATGCTATCTCAGGTCATAAACAGAAAATAAACGTGACAACAGATACAGAAGATCATGACTACTACTACCAAACATAGACCTCCCGTGGTTTACTTTCCCTGGTTAGATCCCCGGGTGTATCCATCCCACCACCGGGCAAACATCCCACCTGTCTGGGCCTGCTCGGTATAGCTCTCACGGCGCGATGCAAAGTTGGGGTCGGCCGAGTTCCGCTTCTGGCTGGTCAGGCCATCGAACAAGGAGGAGTTTTGGCCACTGGAGCGTCTCCTGTCCGGGGCCCGAGGCGGACTGCTGGCCATGTTGTTGGAGTTGGAAGACATATCAGAGGAGTTTGAGCCCTGCTAGATGTGTCAGTGGAGTGAGAGAGAGACTGCGATGTGTTTGCTGCAAGCTGGTCCCTGCTTTTGCCCGTCCCAACGCTAGAAGCCAACGCTATAACGACATATGACGAACACAAAAGGAACATGATACAGTTGGTCAGGAGGGCTTATGCGAACAGACGAGGACATACGCGTCTATCGGTAGTCATCTCCGGTCCGGTCGCGGTGGTGTACACCGATCCGCCTGGCACCGAAGGACGGCGGAAGTAGGGCGAGGACGGACCACCGCGGACCCAGACGTTGAGATGCTCGTGACGGTTCCCGGGGTCTCCGTGCCAGTGGCGGGGAGACTGTGGCTGATCGTTGCTCATGGTTTCAGTTGGAATGGGGTTTGAAGGTAGACGGATGGGCGAAGATGCAGTGTCAACTGCTCACTTCGTGAGTTGAAGAATAAGCCACAAGATGGGGGAAAGCATGGGGATGATGTGCATGGAACTGTGATGGTAGGTGCGACAGTGGTGTACAGAAGGGTACAAACGCTGCTGTACAAAGTTACATGACATGATACTTGCGCCCAGATTTAGATTCGACACGACAGTCTCGGCGTCATTCTGATGGCAGCAAAAACGAGATATCTCGAAAGAAGTCAGATTGTGAAGTTAAATCCACTTACCAGAGGTTGACAATAATATTAGAACTTGGTTTGGAATCGGCTTTCGAGGAAACAGTACACTGAGTTCTTAGAAGAAAGTAAATTTACCCAAGCATATGGAACGACGGAGCAGGAGGTAATATACCTGTGGAGGGGTCCAGAAGAGGGGTCCGGGACAATACTGTGAAACAGACCCTGGGAATGATGATGCATCAGAACCACACGCTCATCCAGGAGGGGGGCAAAAGTACGAGTCTAGGCCAAATGAGCCAATAATGGAGGCGTGGAAAGAATGGGCAATGAATCATCATCCATCCATGGATGCTTCTCCAGTGCCAGTGCCAGTGCCAGTGCCAGTCATAGTCGCCGGACCGGGCTGACGTATGCGGGGATCGGAAAGAGGAGATAATCGAATGCTATCTCGCTGATCTTGCTTAGAAAGAAGGGGAGACTCTCTTGTTCAAGCTATTCGATAGAGAGTGTGTCTGGTTGTGGTAGTCAACCTGCAGCATGTCCAGCCGAGAATCCGGGGAAAGAGGCGGCCTTGCTGCCTCAGGCTAACGATGGGTGTCGGCGTCCAGATCATGAGCCGAAGCGGAATGGCTTCCTCTCTTTCTCCTCTTCTCCGCATCTTCTTATCATCGACATCCCACCTTCTGCCGACGGGGTTGCTTTCTGGTGCCAATCACCATTCCCCGCGCCTTGTTTCATCTCGGCTATCAATCGAAAGCAATCTAGTTTGTGAGTTATCTCCAATGTCAGTCCCTCGGTCAAGTTGTTGACTGCCGTCCTTATATAGCCCCAGGCCGATCTAGTCGGATTGCATTGTTTACTTGTACTCCGTCCTGTACTGTACACTACATATCCACTTCTCCAGCTCCCTCCCCACCTCCTCACCAGCACATTGAACCAACCCACAATCACCATGGAGTATACCAGACAGCCCTATCTTCAATCTCTCGGCCAACACGGCTACATCGAAGGAGTGACCCTGCATGAGAAAACCACCAACAAACCCTATTGCCACTACTTCGGCGGGGTCCGCTACGCCCACCCGCCCCCGCAACGTTGGCGCAAGGCCCAGAAGCTGTCCACCTCCTACTCGTACGGCTCCAAAGATCAACCGGGCTCTGCGGACGGGCGCACAGGGATCTGCCCGCAGCCTCGCTTTCTGGATGTGGTCTCCGAGGACGGCTGGACGGAGGATTGTTTCCAGTGCAACATCTGGGTTCCGACAGGCAAGGCACCCGAGAATGGTATGTGATATCTGTCTCCGACCCCAGAAACTTGGGGATAAAACAAATCAACTGCTGTCCCCACAATCCCCCATGTGCCTTGCATATCATGAACCACACACTCAACTCAAATTCTCAACATCAAACAGGCTGGCCAGTACTCTTCTTCATCCGTAAGTCGTCTTTTCTTCCTCCCCCGGTTGTTCTTCCATAATATCTAACAACTCTCTCTCAGATGGCGGTTTCCTCCAATTCGGTGACCCCAACGCATTCTCCGCCGCCGCGCTCCTCGGAGAAGCCCAATTGAACGCCATCGTCGTCCTACCAGCCTACCGCCTGAATGTATTCGGCTTCCTCTACTCCTCCGAGCTGGAGCAAGACGCCGCCTCCGTGAACGAGAGCGTCGGCAACCACGGCTTCTGGGATCAACGCCTAGCCCTAGAATGGACCCGGGATCACATCCGTCTGTTTGGGGGGGATCCCTCCGAGATCACCGTAGCAGGATACTCAGCAGGTACGCTCTCCGGTGCCAAAACACCTTCATTCTCCCAGCTAACAACCTCCCCCCCCCCCCCCAAAAAAAAGGAGCCTACTCAACCTTCCACCAACTCTCGCACGACCTAACCCTGCCCCCCGACCAATCCATCATCAAACGCGTCTGCATCTGGTCCAACAGTCCCGTCGCGCAGCCCAAACCCCCCACCACGGCCCAAGCCCAATTCACGCAGCTCCTCGACCAACTATCCATCCCCCTGGCCCTACCCGCCGCCTCACGCCTCGAGCGCCTGCGCGCCGTCCCGGCCCCCACGCTCCTCCAAGCCGCCATGGCCCTCCCCAGCAACAACCAATTCCGGCCCACCACCGACGGCACGTTCATCCCCGCCGGTCTCTTCACCTCCCTCGACGACGGCACCTGGGCCCGCCGCCTCCGCGCCCGGAACATCCGCATCCTCTGCGGCGAGTGCCGCGACGAGCGCAACCTCTACGCGACGTGGTTCCCGCCGACCCAGAACTCGCTGCCCGCGCTGCGCGACCGCCTGTCCGCCGAGTACCCGCGGCCGCTGGTCGACACCCTCCTGCAGCTGTACTACCCCGATGGAAAACTCCCGGAGGGCGTCCGGGACTGGCGCACCGATGCCTTTGGGCGCGTCTATGCGGATATGCAGGTGCACAAGATGCAGCGGGGGTGGGTGCATGCGTTGGCGGAGGTGGCGGCGGAGACAGCTTCGACAGCAGACAACCGGGTGTATCGGTACCGCGTCGAGTACCGGCTGAAATGCGCCGATAAGTCCCTCCCGCCCAGTTGGGGCGTCACCCACGCCACCGATCAGTATATCTGGTTCTGGGGCAACGGGGAGCGGGTCGAGCCCCAGGAGAAAGCCGTCATCTGGGACGCGTTCATTGAACCCCTGAAGAAGTTCGTGCACGGGGAACCGGATCTCCAGTGGGGGACTGTGGGTCATAAGCAGCTGCGGACCCTGATGCCGGATGGCTCGGTCCAGATCAAGGAGGATATCTTCTGGGATGAGGCCATGCGCGTCTGGAAGGCCTTGAGGGAGGTGGGGGAGCCAGACAGCGCTTCCGTCGCCAAGTTATAATCATGAATATTGAGCCCATCCTATTTACTGGCATCGAACTGTGTCTTATCTATGGTCACTGGTTGACTAGCAGAGAACAGACTTAATTCAGACGGCATTCCATGCATATATAATAGTCTGGGAATCATCTACGACGTACGACATTTGCGTATATGACTCAAAAATAACTCTACTTATTCATTTATATATGGCCGATATTATGTTTGGAATGGCCAGACTTGAAATTAACAGAAACAAACCAACCCGGAAAGAAACGCTTGAACACAAACAAAACACCTCAAATCCTCACTGCCAGGCCGACAACAAGCGCGCATCGCGAGGAACATAAGTCATAGATTCTTTTAACATCGTGCAATGGTCCTCCTACATCAGGCTTTGACGATCTTGCAGATCAGGTCCTGACCATCGACAGAGTCACCTTCCTTGACCAGCAAGCTGGAGACCTTGCCACTGTGGGGCGCGGAGATAACCATTTCCTAGTAGCTATTAGCATCGTGCCTCGTACAATAGATATCGGGTGATCAAGACATACCATCTTCATGGCGCTCAGGACGGCCAGAGGGTCACCCTTCTTGACCTCGAGTCCGTCGTGAACACGGATCTCCACAACGACACCGCTCATAGGAGCACCGACCTGGCTGCTGTCGCCCAAGTCGGCCTTGGCACGGGCGGTGTTGTCGACGGACGCCTTCTTGTCGTCGACGCTGACCTGACGCACCTCACCGTTGACCTCGTAGAAGACCTCACGCTGGCCGGTCTGCTCGGAAAGAGGGCCAATAGCCAACAACTTAAGGATCAGGACCTTACCCTTCTCCAGCTCGACGTGGAACTCCTCGCCAATCTCGGGCTTGGCCAAGAAGTAGCGGGTGGGCAGAACGGACAGATCACCGTACTTTCCGACGAACTTCTTGTAGTCCTCAAAGACCTTAGGGTACATGGCATAGCTGGCAACATCGTACTCAGTGGCAGCACCGAACTGCTCGCGGATGGTGCCCTTGATCTTAGCCAGGTCCAAGGGCTCCAAGTAGAGACCGGGGCGCTTCTCGAGCTTGCGACGGTCACGCAGGGCGCGCGAGCGCAGAGGCTCAGGGAACCCGCCGTACGGCTGACCCATCAAGCCCTCCAGAAACTCGAGGACGGAGGCTGGGAAGTCGAGCTCACCCGCACGCTCCACAACATCCTCAGCGCTCAGCTTGTTGGACACCATGAACTGAGCCAGATCACCAACAACCTTGGAAGTGGGAGTGACCTTGACAATGTCACCCAGCAGGTCGTTGGCAGACTCGTAAGCCTTCTTGGTTTCGGCCCACTGCTGGCCCAAGCCGAGCTGACTGGCCTGGAAGATGAGGTTGGTCAACTGACCACCGGGGATTTCGTGCTCGTAGACCTCGGGGTCGGGGCCGGTCAGACCAGCCTCGAAGGGCGAGTACAGGAGACGCAGCTGCGCCCAGTAGGTGTCGAGCGCGCGAACCTGGTTCAGGTTGAGACCAGTGTCGTACTCGGTGCCCTCCAGGGAGGCGAGCAGAGCGCCAATGCTGGGCTGCGAGGTCATACCCGACAAGCTGTCGGTGGCCGCATCAACGGCATCAGCGCCAGCCTGGGCGCAAGCAATCATCGAGGCCACACCAGTACCGGCGGAGTCGTGGGTGTGGACGTGGATGGGAAGGTCAGGGTAGCGCTCACGGATGGAGCCAATCAGAAGACGAGCGGCCTGGGGCTTCAGCACTCCAGCCATATCCTTGATACCCAGGACGTGGGGCTCGAACTTAACCACCTTGTCCACGAGGCTCAGGTAGTATTCGAGGTTGTACTTCTTGTGGGGGTTCAACATGTCACCACTGTAGCAGATAGTAGCCTCGACGACACCCTCCGCGGCGTGGACAGCCTTGATACCGACCTCAAGCTGGTCGACATCGTTGAGAGCATCGAAGACACGGAAGATATCCACACCGCACTTCTTGGCTTGCTTACAGAAGTGGTAGATGGCATTGTCGGGAAGAGAGGAGTAAGCGACACCGTTGGCACCACGCAGCAACATCTGGAAGGGGATGTTGGGCACGGCCTTGCGGAGCTTGCGCAGACGGTCCCAAGGGTCCTCGTAGAGGAAGCGCATGGCCACATCGAAGGTGGCACCACCCCAGCATTCCAGACTGTAAGCGTTGGAGAGGGCGTGGCTGGTCTCGTGGGCAATGTTGAGCAAATCGATGGTACGCACACGGGTTGCCAGCAGAGACTGGTGGGCGTCACGCCAGGTGGTGTCCATGATCAAAGTGCCCTTGTTGGCACGCACGGCACGGGCCCAGGCCTTCGGGCCCTCACGGTCCAGGATCTGCTTCCAACCCTGAGTGGCGGGAGCAGAGACATCCAAAGGCTTGCCCTGAGTGTCATACAAAGTGGGCTTGATGATATCGCCCTTGAGCTTGGGCTCGCCGATCTGACCCTTGATACTGCTGCCATTGACGGCCACGTCACCGAGGTAAGCCAACAGCTTCTGAGCACGGTTCTGACTGCCGACCAGAGCGAACAACTCGGGGGTGTCGTCAATGAAGGTAGTCCAGCAAGTGCCGTCCACGAAAGTGGGGTGGCTCAGGAGGGAGGTCAAGAAAGGAATGTTGGTCTTGACACCACGAATACGGAACTCGACCAGGGCACGGACGACCTTGCGGCGGGCAATTTCGTAGGTGGAACCACGGCAGGTACACTTGACCAGCATAGAATCGTAGTGAGGAGTGATAATGGCACCAGCAAAACCGTTACCACCATCGAGACGGACACCGTTACCACCAGCGGAACGGTAGACCTCGATCTTACCGGTGTCGGGGGAGAAGCCCTTGGAGGGATCTTCAGTGGTGATACGGCACTGAATGGCGAAACCGCGAGTGGAGATCTTGTCCTGAGTCAGGCCCAACTGCTGCAGGGTAGCACCGGCAGCAATCTGGATCTGAGCCGCCACGATATCAATGCCCGTAATCTCTTCCGTGATAGTGTGCTCGACCTGGATACGGGGGTTGATCTCGATGAAGTAGTAGCGGTTCTGCTGGTCGACCAGGAACTCGGCAGTACCGGCGTTGCGGTAGTTGACGGACTTGGCCAGCTTGACAGCATCGGCCAGGATGTTGTCGCGAACGTCCTGGGGAAGGTCCTTGGCGGGGGCGATTTCAACGACCTTCTGATGACGACGCTGGACGGAGCAGTCACGCTCGAACAGATGGATGACGTTTCCGTGGTTGTCACCCAGCAACTGCACCTCAATGTGCTTAGGCTTGTCCAGGAAGCGCTCGACGAAGACGGTGCCGTTACCGAAGGCCGAGCGGGCCTCGGAAGTGGCACGCTCGAAGGCATCCCGCAGTTCGGCTTGGTCGCGGACGACACGCATACCACGACCACCACCACCGAAGGCAGCCTTGATAATGATGGGGAAGCCATAGGTATCGGTGAATTCCTTGACCTCTTCGTAGCGCTCGACGGGGCCGGGAGTACCGGGGACGACGGGCACTTCGCAGCGGATAGCCAGCTGACGGGCGGAGACCTTGTCACCCAAAGCCTCAATGGTCTGCGGGGTAGGGCCAACGAAGACCATGCCGGCCTCCTCGACCTTGCGAGCAAACTCGGCATTCTCGGACAGGAAACCATAACCAGGGTGGATGAGGTGAACGCCGTGCTCCAGAGCAATCTTGACGATCTCATCGATGGCGAGGTAGGCACCGACGGGGGTATATTGACCACGGTGACCGATCATGTAAGCCTCATCGGCCTTCTGACGGTGCATAGAAAGACGATCCTCGTGAGAGTAGATAGCGACCGTCTGCAGAGAGAGTTCGTGGGCGGTACGGAAAATACGGATGGGGATTTCACCACGGTTGGCGACGAGGATCTTCTGGAACTGCATGATGGCCGAGTTGGCGCGCAGACGGGTGTGAACGGAATCCCGGTGATGGTCATGGTGGTCGTCGATGAACTCAGTGTCATCGATTGCCTCCTCGGGCTGGCGTTGAGGAGCAGCCATGATGGAAATGTGTGATTATGTGTGAATGATTTGGAGAAGAGGGAAGAAAGGAGAGAGGAAGAGGGAGGAGGGGAGGAAGGAGAGTAATTGAGGAGAGCTTTGGGGGGGGGGGGGAGCTGCGGCGACGGAAAGTGGGTAGGTAGAAAGGTAGATAAGAGGATTATGACGTTGTGGAGAGGGAGAGAGGGAGAGAAGTAGACAGGGAAGAAGCTCTGGATGAACCACGACAGGGCTGGGCTGCAGAGACTATAAAAAAAAATATAAGAATTGAAACAGTTAGCCGACAAACCAATGATAGCCGGGAAAATAGCAATAGTGAGTCACTTTAAGGAGAAACACACTCCGGGGGAAGTTGTAAGAGGGACGAGGAGAGGAGGGGGGGGTAAAAGAAAAAGGCCCGGTTTCGGAACGGCAGAGCGAGAACAACACGCGGGGAAAGTCGAGAGGGAACGTTGTGGTCTGGTCCGAGGAAGCACTTACCCGAGGAGGTGAGTGAAAGGAAGATTTAGGAATGACCCCGGAACGTGTTTGGGTTTGAATTGAAACGTAGAAGAGAAGAAGAAGAAGAAGAAGAAGAAGTTGGAGAGGAAGAGCGAAGAATAAGAAGTCGAAGCAGATAAAACTAAAGGAGGGGTGCTGCAATAGGAAGGCCCTGGGCGGGAAGGCGGAGAGAGCAGCCAATTTGACTATTGAGTATGGACAAGTCCAATTCCGGGGTTGAATCTATCCCTGATAGCAGATGCGATCTCCCAGTCCATCCCAGTCCATCCCAGTCCATCCTCACCGGTACACCGGACTGCAGCTTGAGGGATGGTCCCCTCTCCTTCTTCTCTCCATTCCCAGATCTGCTTCCCAGTTCGCTTGCTTGTCTGCTTGCCTACTTGCCTTCTTGCCTACTTTCCTCTCAATTCATCCTCCGTTCGTCCGGTGAATTCATTGGTTATTGGAATTATGACTGTTGAATTAACGTACTTGGACCTCCCAAGACAAACGATAAGCAGATTTGCCCCCCCCCCCTCCCTCCCCACCAAGAGAGATCACCAGACATCCGCCACCCTCATACTGTGTACGGTACAGAACAAGCACAATAAAAACAACACCGTCTGCTGCCCTCCTCTCCATACACAGAACCCCAGATTTGCATCAGAGCTGGGGGGAGGCATAGACCACCTCTCTCGGGTGAATTAGGACGACCGTCCATAGCAATGGCGAACCTCGGGTGCTCGGGTTAATTGTTTCCCTCTTGCAGCATGAAGTTGGTGAACAGGCCTCGGAGGGAGGGGGGCGGGCAGTGAGATCATCCCCATCAACCATGATCCATTATTCTGGAGCTCTCCATCCGTGAATAGGCGAGCGCAATGCAGTGCAGTGCAGTACAGTACAGCGCAGCGCAGTTGCAGTGCCGCGCAGATCGTTCCCGCGCATGCCCGCTCGGCCCAGCCTCTCCCACTCCCTCCCTGGGCCCCTCCAGACTTTCTCCTTCCGCCTCGAACTCCCCCCACCACCAAGTACCGTACCAAGAACCATCGCATCGCCGAACAAACGACGAGAGGGCTGCCGCACTAATCCCGAGGAATCACAATCCGGCAACCTGCCAAGTGTCACATCTGGTCGATCCAGACATGCGCCGAGAACAAAGAAAGAAACAACCGAAATTCTGCTTGGCTCAAGACTTTATTGCTCCGGTGCTAACGACCACTACTGCACAGTACAATGATGGGCAGGTAACCATCTCTAACCATCTCCTCCGTATACTGTACATGATCCAACCCCTCAGCCTGCACCATCCATACATGTCCGAACAGCATGAAATAGAAAAAAAAAAATTATCCCCCCAATAACACTTCACCGATTGCTCAGAGGAAGCTGTAACCCGACCATCGTCGTCCGTTCGATTGGTACTATGTACTTCCCGGAACGTCCACCGGTCCCCCCGTCTCCGGTTTTGTGCCACCGGGACAAGAGTGCCTTTCGTTTTCTATTCCTTCACCGAAGGACGGAGTTGTAGCCGGTCAGGTCAGGTCAGCCTTCTTGGCGCGATGGGAGCAAATTCCAGGCCCCTGGGTATGGTTTCCATGGGACTGCAAAAAGTCATGCAACCTGTCCTAACCATAGCTACTTACTACGGGAGTACTGTAGCCGTATCTACAGGACCTGCAGAAAGTGACCAACTATCTCCGGACCTCTCTGTCCCGAACCCAACAACAACCAGCCTAGCCCTAAGTAAAAACCACCCAAACCCGCCCCGCGCTCTTCTCCTCTACTCTCTCTCTCTCTCTCTCTCTCTATCTCTATCTCTCCTCTTCAGGTCCGATCGGATCGGCTTCCATAAGTAGACTGTATCAATGAGAAAAGAACAATTGCAATGACGACTCAAGAGACCATTTCGTTCGTAAGACTACCAGGATAAATCCTTACACTCCTCACACTCCTCAAACCTGGTCGTAACTACGTACTGTGACTACTGTCCCATGCCCACAATGCCCATCCCTGTCCCACTCCCACCAACCCCCCCACAACTTCATCACCCACCACAGTCCACTGCAGTTCGCGGGGGGCTAAATCCTTTACCTGCACGCCGCAAAGCCTGGCACCACCACCAGCTCCCTCCGGGCCGGGTTCCTTTTCGCCGAACATGCAACAACTAGACTATGAGTGTACAGTATATACATCACCCTACGTCGCTACTTCCTACGTACTCCTGTGCCAAATCCTCTAGCGGAACCAGATACCGAGCCTAACCCCCCCCCCCCCCCCCCCCCCGGCCCTTCAGCTGCGGCTGCATCTGCCGAGATCGTCGATCCCCTCTCCTGGGAAGTTGGACCGATAGTTCATCACCACTATTGACGGCTGCCTTACCCGCTGTCTAAGTCACGAGGCAGCCAGCCTCCTGTTCCGGTGATCGACTACGGAGTACCACTACCTACATACCACCACTCGTATCCGACTGGACCGTACATGTGCGAAATTCTATCCATCACCGTCATGAAGTCAATAATCCCATTGTACTAAGATAATTACGGGATTCCTGCCGGGTCCCACCCACGAATCCCAGGAGACAAGAGCCACCGATTTTAGAAGGCCAATTGAAATACATCAGGAGGAGAAGAAGAAGGAAGAGGAGAATAGGAAGAATAAAGAACCACTCAATAAATGGAGAATAAGAACGAGAAGATCATCAAGTAACAGAAGGGGGGCTCCGAAGCATCCGACCCAGAGAGAACAGCGAACTGAGTGGCCCCAAAGCGTCCCATCGCTCATGCTATACATACACTAACCTCTTCGAGACGCTGCACCAAGATCTGGGAAAGGAAGGCAGAAGGCATGACAAGTCGTACGTTTAAAAGGGCCGGAATCCAGTCGCCTGCGGCGTGATTCCATTGGCGTACCCCATGGGCGCGGGTGCCGGCGCCGCCGGTCCCTGCGTTAACATCAACCGCGAGCCGCCCAGAATGGGTGTGTTGTCCTCTTCCACCTTCTGCGTCGTCTCCCGAGCCTTCCGCTCCTCGTTGTCCTTCTTCAGCATCTCGATCGCCCGCGTCTGCTCGCACAGGAAGTTGATCATGAACGGCATCGTGAAATCGTGCAGCCCGTGGCGCCACGACAGTTCCATGATCACATCCGGGCGGATAAGATCGTAGCAGGCATAGAGCATACCAACGTAACACTCGCGGCTGCCAATATCCACAAACTAGAGTATCGGTTAGTCGCTGACTTCAATGTTTGTTGGAAAGAAGAGAGACTTACGTAGCGAAGGAGTTCTTCAACCACCTCCGACTTGCCGGAGATGGCAGCAGTCTCAATGGCATCCTTGTAGAGCTTGTCCTGCTTCGACAGTGCAATCGACTTCTCCCAGCGCTTGTTGTTGCGGTAGATGTTGGCGGCGATCTGACGGAAGAAGATCAGGTCATGCTTCTCCAACCGTTGCGCGAGGGCCACCGCATCGAAGTTATCGTAGTTGTCCACGGAGTCGCGGAGCGTCTTGTAGTCCTCCTCCTCAATCAGCAGGTCATTGATCGCATCGTTCACTGCCCGCTTGTTCTGGGTCTGGACGTTGAGCAGGAAGGGCTTGATGAGAGGGATGTTGTCTGAGGACTGGAAGATGCGCACGACACGGTTGACGTCGACGCGGGAGGTGAGGGACTGGAGCAAGTCGGTCAGCAGCAATGGCTGTTCCTGGAGATAGAAGTTGAGGGCGCGGTAGTAGATCTCCAAGTTTGCAACCTTGACAATGATGTCCTTGAAAGAGTGGTGCTCCCAGGCATCGGCAGCACGCTCCATCATAGCCAGGGCTGCGTTGTCCCATTCGTCGTAGTGGCAGTACAGGAAGACCAACTCAGGCCACAGACTCGCGTCTTCGCAAGCCCGGATCATCTTGGGGATGTTGATGCGGGACCAGAAGAGCTTGAGGTGCTCCATGACGCGGTCAGGGTGGTACTTGGACAGCGCAATGCCCAGCTCGGTGAACATGCCCATGTGAGCACGCTCCAGACCCAAGCCGGCTTCCAAAACCGCAATGAGCTCATCGAAGTATCCGTTACGCTCGTATTGACGAACAAGGTCCTGAAGCTCTTCTGCATGGACGATCAGGTTGAGACCACAAATCTGGGCAAGACGGAATTCCTTCTTGTTCACGCAAGCCTCGTTGACTTCCTTCCACACCTTGACGCTGTTCGCTTTGCGGGCGCACTCCACAGCCGCCTGGTAGTCTTCCAGGTGAACCAGGGTGGTTGCCAGCTTAGCCCAGTTGGAGATGCTGGTGTAGAAGATCTTGGCGGCCTGGTGGTATCCTTCTTCGTATGCCTTGTCACCAGAGGCTTCGATATCGGCCACATTAGTGGTCCGCAGGAAGTCCTCCAGCTCGGCGAGCTGGTCAAGGCGGGCATAGCAGAAAGCGAGACCGGTATCAATGGCAGGCTCACGCAGTGTCTTGCGGGCCATCTTCAAGAACTTGACGAGATCCTCATCCTTGCCAGCGTGGGTGGCGGTCTCTATAACCTCAAGGTAATTAGAGGGATCACCAGCACGGATGTACGATTCAATGGAGTCAGAGATACGAAGACCATCGAGCTGCGCCTTGGCCACCTTGCTCCAGACCTCGGGCAACTCAACACGCTCAGCGAACTCTTGAGCACGGTCAATGCTGACGATGTTCTCGACCAGGACATTGACAGCGGCAAGGAAGTTGTTGACTTTCTTGTAGATCTCGAAAGCCTCCTCGTACAATCCAACTGAGATACACATCTCGGCGATCTCGTCGGGGCTGAACTCGTTGAGCTGGTGGATGTAATCCATCAAACGGCTCTTGTCGGCCTTGGCAGCGGTCAACATCAGCAGGTTCTGGAGGCTGCCATTGTCACTGAAAGGCGAGGGCTCGAGGATAATCTTCTCCAGAAGCTCAATCAGCTCACCGGGGAGATCAGCCTCAAGGAAGGCTTTGACGGCGACGGACACTTTGTCTGGCTCAGTCGACTCGGGCACGGCGGTGGCAATGACTTGATCGACCAAGGAACGACGGTGCTGGTTGTTCTCGCTCAGGACAAACGACCAGATCTCGGGATCAGCCCGCTCAACAAGGTAGCGCGCCTGAGCACGGTACATGGCATTCTCGTTGGTGATGTTGATGAGCTCGAGATCGTTCTGTCCCTTGCGGTAGGCAATGTATGCAAGATTGGGATCCCGCTTCTCGCAGTACTTTCCAACGGTCAAAGTGTCATACATGTCATTCTCCTTGAGGAACTTCTCGGGGTTGTTGTTGCTGTCGATGTAAATCTTGGCCAATGCGTTGTAGACGGCTTGCTGCTGGTTACCCGTCGCAAGCGTAGCCTCAAGGAAGGGCAGAAGCAACTTCAACCGGTTGCGGCTCTCCACCTCGGAAACAAGCTCATCGATGGGGATCACAGCCGGGTCAACAGTAGAGAGAAGGTTCTTGATGATGCTCTCATCACAGTCGACATCCAACAGACCACCAACGACGGCAGGCGCACGCGAGGGGTTGACACGCTGAACGTAAACCTCGATAGACTTGTACTGCTGGTTCTGGTAGAGGTAAAGAACCAAGTCGTGGATGAAGTTGAATCGATCGCACACAATGATCAGCGGCAGCTGCTCGGTCAACTTGGCCTCCTTCAGGAAGTTCTTGACCTTGTCGGGGTTGTAGTAGTTGCTCTCGCGACAGATGCGCTCCACTTCCGTGATCTGGTTCATAGCAGTGGCAGCTTCGATGTACTTGAAGTGCACCTCGGGGTCTTCGCTAAGGTTAACAATACTGCCAAGGTAGTAGTAGAGACCCTCAGCGGTACGGTATTTCTCGAGCAAGGCAATCAAGCGAGAGGGGCCAAGGAGGTCGGAGAACTTGGTACAGATCTGGACAACGGCTTGCAGATTCTGGCGGATATTAACCTGTAACATGGTGTCCATGCAGTCGAGCGTCTGCTCAACGGACAACTTGCCGAAGTACTCCATCAACCACTCGGGGCTCAGTTTGTCGGTACGAACAATATTCCTCTTGATGGCCGCCGGGTCCTCGGTGTTCTCAAGAGCACGCTGGATGAGGCCAGCATTCTCGCAAAGCTGGGAGATCCGAGGGCGGTCGTAGTGCGTGAAAATCTCATTGCCAAGAATGGCATCGGCAACCTGGGGGGCGTTGACAAGGTTCATCTCGAGCAGACGAGTCTGAAGATGGCCATGCTCGGGCTTGTTATCCTTTAGGGCATCGAGAAGGAACGAAGTGGCTTGCTGGATCATGTTCTGGGACAGGAACACATCGACAACGCGGTCGAGATCGATGAGAGCTCCCGACTCCTCGTTGGCGAGCTGCGTGGCGAATTCGGCACCCTTTTCGGGGTTCACACGAACGATGTGCTGCAGAAGCTGGGTGTAATCCGGCTGGTAGCCAACCTGCTTCGAGTACGCGAGGATCTTGTCAAATTGGCCCGTCTCAGCAAACCCGGCGATGACCTTCTGGGATACATTGGCTTGGAGATAAATAGACAAGGCCAGGTTCATGTCGTAAGGACGGACGATATCACCAAGCTCTTCGGAGGCT